TCTCTCTCTCTCTCTCTCACTCTCTCACTCTCTCTCACTCTCTCTCACTCTCCGTGTATCTCATTTTTCTTCGTCAATTTTATCTTCTGGTTTCGAAAGAAGCCCAAGCCCAGCCCCGCTTCTTTTAATTATTTTGGACCGCCTGTGCCGTTGAGTGTGAAAGTGTAAATTAACCCTCGTACGGGCGCATTTTTTTCGGCTCGGTAGATTATTACTGCGGTTACTTGTTTCACGGATCGCGAATATCATGTCGGGATTAGAATTTGACACTCGATACGCGTATCTATAATGTATTCATCGCCGGCTTTCAATACGCTAGCCCGGCTGTTCTTTATTTTTAGAAAAATATATCGTATTCGCGATCGGCAAATTCGGATACGCGTAAGGCGATTTTTACAAAGACGACGACGCCAAGGATCACAACTCGAATGATTATCGATTCGAGTTTACGCGAGAATAGTACATTAATTTGATGAGACGTTCGCTCGTATTATAGAAATAATATACATTTACGAACATTCAATTTCCAAAGGGAATTATTTATGTATTTATTGCTTATTGTCAAGTGGTTCGTAGGTGCACCGATTACCTCTACGCCCTCCTCATTGTGAGGCAACAAGTAAAACGAAGCTTAAAATGAAAATAATACGTAAGAAAATTTACTATCCAGTAATTCCAGTAAGGGGGATTTTCAAAATACGCTGTAAGAGATTGGCGCGGTGTCATTATTTTAAAATATAAGAAAATATATGGCGATTCTGGGGATGGGGATGGACGATTAGCAAAGCCACGAGCAATTGAATATTATGCGCGAAATTGGTATGCCACAAGGCTAAGCAGAACTGGTTTCTTTCGATCGAGGTGCAAATTGTGGATTGTTTGAACAAGTGGGTCGCGCGCCAAATCAGGAACAGGTGGGGACGGGCAAGCAAACAAGCAAACAACCAAGAAAGCAACCATGCAAGCAATGGCCTATTTTAATGAAAGCGAATGGAAGAGCAAGGGACGAACGAGTGAAGCGGGATCGGGGAAGCGCGGGTACGAGAGTCGTCAGGGATACGGATTAGCGCGTCAATTGGAGATGAAACGAGATACGCGACGAGCGGGCAGCTGGAGTCGCGGCCCCCTCGGGTTACATGCTCAGCGATGGTCCGGGCGAGCGCGGAACCGTTTACTCACCGGCGCCGAGAGTGTAGGGCGACTCGGAGTTGTTGGCTGAATGATGGCTCTGGAGGAACTCCATCTCGGCGAAATTGTGGTCGTCAGCCTCCCTTAGGAACATCCCCTCGGCTTCGAGGGTCGGGGCGCGCTGGCGCGGTCCGCGCCGCGTTTCTCAGCCCGCCTCCTCTCGCGCTCTCCTTCTCCTTTTCTCTCTTCCTCGCGCGTTCGCTCACTCACTCTCTCTCTCTCTCTCTCTCTCACTCTCTGTGTTACGATCGCTGGGTTCCCACCCTCTCACTATCACTCTCACTCCTCTCTTATGAGCGCGCGCCGGTCCAGCCCCTCGCGTCGTCCTGGCAACGGGGAGGCTGCGGCCCTCGCATCGCCGCGGCCCTCTTCCCGGGCGCGAACCCCGGCGGCATGCGCCACCGAACCCGGGGCCACGTGGCCTCGTTGCTCTCGCGCGGGCTGCCGGTCGAGACGGTGCGCGCGCCACAGCAACCGGGCGCAATGTGCGCAGCCCGACGCCCGCCGCGGCGCTCGCATCCCCCGCGCCGACGAGGCCGGGGCTACCGCGGGTGGGGGCTGCGCCGAGCTTTTCGGGAAGCTCGAGGGTGGAGGGGTCGGTGGTGGAGGACGAGGGGGAGGGGAATGGGAGGGGAGGGACACGGGATACTAATCGCTCTCGGCGGCCGATCGCCGATCCGCGGGTGTTGCGTTACGTCGGTGCGGAGCGCCCGGTGGTCTGCGGGCTCACTCGCTCGCAATGCCGCCCGACCGAATTTTCCGGAGCATACCGTCCGGCCAATCGCCCGGAATTAATGTCCTGCGGCAGGCTTAGCGTGCGCCAACGACGTATTGCTGCTGGCCGAGACCGTGTCGGCGTCGCCGTTGACGATGACGAGAATGACGACGACGACGACGACGATCATGATCGACCGTGTCGGTGATGATGTTGATTTTGGTGCACCAGTGCTGGTGTCGGCTGCGACGATGACGATGCTGTTGACGATGATGGTGACAGTGGTGGCGACGATGGTGGTGGTCGTTTATGCTGGGGAGGCGGCGGTGGTGGTGGCGGTGGTGGTGGCGGTGGTGGCTACGGCGGCAGCAGCGACGACAACGGCCACGGCCACGGCAACAGCAACACTATACTCGGGTCCCGCGACTTCCTCTTCCTGCGGAACTGCCGGCGCGAGTCACCTGGCCCTCGGC